GTATTTGAAAAATAATGTGTTTTTTGAACATTAAAGCATGTCAACATATTCTGTTACACCAAATACACAAAATAATGATCTTTAAAAAACATCATATGACCCCTTTAATTTCAGGGGAACTGTCTCTGAATTTAGTGTAAAGTAAATTGTTTTGGATGAAAAGCTTTTGCTGAACAGTGCCTTCTGACTGTATTACTGCTAACATTCTCACAATGAACTTGGACCTCCACCTGTATTAGAGGAGAACATCACTACAAAGGGTTCTCTATTGAAAGTATCAGTTCCACAGGATTCACATCCATCATCATACTGGAAGCTGTTGGCAACGGCCACTGTCTGACGTCTGATGAGAATAAAAGTGTAATTATTCATTTGATATGAACCACATATATGCATACAATCTTATATGATATGTGAACTAAATGTTACCTGTAAATAAAGAGATATCTCTCTTTGTAAGTGTTCCTACCCAAGGGCTCACTTACAATGTACTGATATTCATATGGAGAGGAACCTCTGGTAATGAAAATAACTGTTATTAATTTATTTACACAATTAAATACAGTAACATACAGCCAGTTAAGACAACTTACCCATTCACACTTTGCATCAGTTTCTTGGTTGCAGAGAGATCGCTGTCTCTCACTTCTTGGATGAGTACAATGTCATAACGGTGTACTACCTAAACAACAAAATACAGTCACCAAATGTGAGCGTGTAAGGATTTTATAGGTTTGGATGTCACTCACTTTGGTAATGATGTCAAGCAGGGTGGCATTAGATGCTTTCGAATCCCCAAAGGATTTAATGTTGAAGGCTCCAATCAGAAAGGAGCTTCCAAGGTGGACAGATACCAGGAGTAGACCTATAGTAGTAATAATCTTCATGCTGTAGCCTATATAAAGGGCATATTCAGACATTTATTAAACAGTAGTCATTCCTGAGACAGATTTCAAACTAGATATACTAGCAATACATGTGAAAGGCATAAATACACTCACAGAGAATCTTGATAAATAAATGTAACTGTCAATCAGTAAATCTTCTATTCTATCCTCAGCGCTCATTCAAAGACGTGTATTTATTGCTTGGATGGAGCAAGAACACCTAAAATGCATGTGTAGATTCAGTCGAGTGATAAAGTTTACCCTCTTCAACTTAATGCTGCTGAACTGAATTTATGGAGCAAACTATTTGCTAAAATATCCATAACATTAACAGCACCGTTGAAATACAAGCGTGCGGTTCTGTCATGTGTTACTATAACAAACACTGTGCTTTCTTTCAGAATTTCTGTTAGAAAGACAAAAATAGGTTACATAAAAGTTTTTACCTAAAAGTGAAGATAAGGTAAAGGTGTGAATAATTGCATTTTAGACACATTGTCAGTAATTTCACCAATGAAAATAAAGCCCTAGGAGAACTGTTGTGCGTCTCAGATCAACACACAGCGTCATTAATGAATCCACGTTTTTAAACGAAACGAGTGAATCAATGAAGTGAACCATTCATAAAGGCGGCCACTTGCTTCGTTTTTGAATGAATCAGCTGTTTGAACGAATTGATTGAATGAATGATTGAATGACTCACTGACTTAAGACAGGTATTTGCCACCACCTACTGGCGCTTTTAGTTGTATATAGAGTTGTTTTCACTATTTATTTGTATTTTTTATGTTGAATTAAAATATTTATTTCTAAAGCTACTTATATTTCAGCTACCTTTTTGTAATGTCTATTCAGTGTTGTTTTTTTCTAAATTAACACAATGATAACTATTATCTTTAATAATAACTTTATCTTTAATCGGCACATGATGTACATGTTAATTAATTAATCCCCCCCCACCTGCTGTGGAGTGCTTTCACTTATGATGTGAGAACAGGGAGAACGCTTTTTCGCACAACAATAGGAGCCTTACTTTACCTTAGCAAGTCCCTCTCTCAGGGAATAAAAGTGGTATCACATATTCTGGAGAGTTTTATTTACCACTACTGTGTAAAGACACCAACCTCTCGCTCACTTTCTCTCTGGGAAATAAACAGATGGGTGATAAGACAATGTAACTTTAAACAGGTGGTTAGATAGATGTATTGAGAAAATATTTATTTTGTAGCTTGCTATTGCAGCTCAATAGAGCAGGTTTTGTTTTGAACTTGTTGAACAATAGGCTACGGGGCGAGAATCTCCACATAATCATAATCTACATGAATTAATATGTTTGTAAAGATTTTGTGTAGAAAGCCTATTTAAAATTCATTTGTTTGCCATTAAAACTTTATTTATTAGGCCTATCTACTCCGTAATTTTAGAAGGCTGAACTGAACTGAACCCACTCTCCCTTAAACTAATCCAACTTCAGTGGGCGCTACATATGTGTGTCATTCAAATACAGTTAGTAGACTATTTATTATGTGTTTTGTGTATATATAGTGTATGCTATTTTTGTATTTCATGTTATGTCATTCTTCGGCACTTCGGCATCGTTCGGCTGATTCCGGAACGGAACAGACCAGTACACCAAATTCTGTGACCATCGTATTCTGTGACCGTAGTAGGCGCTGTTGTCCCTGTTTAGCGGTTAATGCTAGAAGGGATACGGCAAAAACTACTGGGCATGCGCACATCAATATAGCGTAATTTTTCTCATACTGTACAAAACTAATTACTATTTTTGCATTATTGTAAGGGGTAGGTGTAGACGTTAATAAAACACAATCTAACACAACCCTGTTTAGCTTTAACTCGATCACACACAGGCGAGTAGGGTACGCGAACAGCGCCTGTCTCTGTTGGTTCCATAGACTGTATAAAAGGTTGGTGGTTCATTAAATGTTATAAACGTTATATGAACGCGCCCGGAAGACAGTCGGGTGTCGTGCTGTAGTCTAGATACGCCGATTGAACTGTACATAACAGGTTTAATTACATCAAGAAACATAGTTATTAGACAAGCTTTCCAAGTGCTTTTATTTTTTAGTATTATTAATAGTATTAATAGTATTAGTAGCCTATTAATTTTGACTATTAAAGATATTATTAGTATTATTAAAAAAAAGATTTTTGTTTTGATTCGAACAGTGATAGCGAACAATAGCGAACGGACATAGCCTGTGTTTTATATTATTGATTATTGCACCAAATGGGAGCAGGCAAATCCCCTAAAATCAAAGTCAGCTGCAGAAGTTACACAGTCCATCTTAAAATTTGTATATCAATCTGAAGTGTCAAAACGGATACTAATAGATCAAGGCAGAGAGTTTGTGAACACTGTAAGTATTTTCATTCCTACTGCACAAATACATTTATATACTGCATGTTCTTCGCTGTGTTAAGAGTTTGATGTAAAATTACACAAATATGTGCTATTGACATTTAAAAAAACAAGTGTTTTTACATAACTTCTGTAGATCAACACCGAAGTGTGCAAAGTGCTGGGCATTAAGTCTCTGTGCCCTATCAGACGAGAGAGGCTCAGTGTTGCCAAACCCCTCCCTCAGAAAATCTCTAGAACCAC